ACTCAATTTTTCACGTGGAAAACAACTAGTCACATTTTAAAAAAAATTCACATGCTACAGTATACCAATATTTAAGATTCTTCTTATATTGTTTAAAAACTGAATTGATTGTCCAAAGTGCTGCATTCAAACATGAGCAGTCAAATGTATGGTTGTTGCTAAAAGTTCAGCATTTTCAAAAATTCCCCCGTTGAAGGGCCTAGATTTCAGATTTTTCCTCCAAGTACCAGTTTCTATTTTTGGAATCACAGCATAATCCAATATATTTGACCTCAGGTAACTGGCCCAAGTTTTCCTGCAGGGATTCACATCTCCTGGGCTGCAACACACACTTTGATCAGTCTTTTCACTGCCTGATTTTGGCTTCATAACTGAGTTCCTAAACTCCCCTGAACTCTGTGGGACTGCTGAGCATGAAAGGAATTGAAGAGCAGCAGGTGAGGAACATGCCTCTGCCCTCCCCAAACCCATCCTCCTGCAAAGTTCCTGCATTTCTTGCCTTTTTCCCCAAGAAACATGAAAGCTTAAGCAGATATAGAGGAATGCATTAATTAGGGCTGAACTGATGCTAATTTGACTCCGTTTGTTTCAAATGTACTTCAGTCGCAATCTGTTCTTAAAATGGAATGAATATGCAAATACCGAGCGTTTGCTGCTGTCCTCTATTTCCTTCTGAAGCAAGTCTATTACACAGTCATCTATTTACCCACCCTCAGATTTTCTCTTTGTAACTGAGCCTCTTCTATAGAAGCAGAGAGCAGCAAAATCGCTGCTGGGCTCCCCACATTATCTGGCTCTCATTTCTCACAGGATGGCACCACCTAGTTTGAGGGGGAGGAAAACTTCAAGCAGAAGAGGAAGTGTTTGACACTGTTCAAACCATTCTGGTTTGTCCAACTGGAAATATCTATTTCTGTAATGCCTGCTAATAAGTGAAGACCCATATATAGTCCTAGGATTTCTGTTCCTTATATTTCCCAAGTGGGTTTTAGGATGATGTCTGGATATACCTGACATTTTCCAGAAAACCTCCAAACATGGCCCTTATGACAGAATTTATAACTGTTCAAGACCACGGTCAAGCTCACCTTGAAATACAATGGCAGACTGAAGACTATACCCAGCACAAGTAGTAGGTCCTTCATTTCCCCCCCCTTACACTACCTATAAATAAGTGACAAAGTGAGCTCAAGGTCTGTCATGATTCCAAATAAGTAGTTTGTAATCAGTACAAAGGAAACAGTGAATGTCTTACGTGTCCCCTAACCGTAGGAGCTATTCTCAGAAAGAATGACTGCTGCTGCTTCTAGCTGGCTGGACAGCTGATGGTGATGGATTTTGTCATCGGCGGTATTAATGACAACCTATTTCGGTACAAAGACAGAAGCCGAGTCCTGTCTGCACCTCTCTTTTGAGGCTTCACTAGAGATTGCTGTCTTTTTCCTGAATGAAGAGGAAATAATGCCCATAAAATCCTTTAGATCTGTGTGTTCCGCTTCTCTATACTTTACTCTTTTTATTTTTTTAATCTTTGTTACATTTCAAGCACAGTATGTCATTTATATATATCAGCAACTTGCCTTGCCTTCTAAGATATTATATTTAAAACCTGTCTGAGAGCATGATAAGTAATTCAGTTTGACAGAACATGATGCATTAAGATATTCCATTCAATTCTTACAAGCACCTTGTCTGTTGGTAGAAAAAGTAATGGAGCATCAATGCCTTTGCATCCCGACTTCCTACCTTTCGCCACTCACCCAGAAAGAAGCAAGTTAACTCCAATCCTGAAAGTAAAGGTCCACTAATTTTATTGAATTTATTATTTTAATTGATGGATACTTCAGCCTTAAAGCAGTTTAAAGAGCAAGAGTCCCTGACTGTTTCAGGAATTGTGTCACTATTGTTGTTCAGGAAGGCAACCCCCTGTCAGTTTTATACATATGAAAGAAGTCATGAAAATTCATATCCCCTAGGACCCCTATAGGGTGATATTTCTCTCTCTTGGGGCATCTGTGAAAGTACTCTATACAAACATAAAGGAATATTATAAACATCAGTAAAGGCTGTACCAGAAGTGAACAGAAATAAAGAAAAGGATGAAGTACAGAAGTCCTGAAAAATGCAAGACTCATTTTTACAGTTAAACAGATGAGAACTGAATATATACAAAGCTATATTTGAAAGGATACATTTATAAATAAGAAATAATGATATAGAAAGGAAGATGATAATGAACAACTTCAGACACCACAGATAACAGAGAGAAAGATCAGGGCTACATTTTTGACTGATGGAAACAGTGCCATTTTCCGATTTCCAAAGGCAAGTGAATTAACAATTTCTTAATTTAAGTCAGGCCATTTAGACATAAGATTGTTCCACTGCCCTTTGAAAACCTCAGATTTATATTCTAAAGCTGCTATAGTAAATTCATTACTCATATCACTTAAAAAAATGGACACTTTTTCCTCCACTGGTAACACTGCAGCACCTTCTTGGGGAAAAAAAAAAGAAAAATGACTAAAATGTATAAATGACTTAGTTTCTAAGTGCCTATGGCAGAACTCTGACAATCACTAACAAAATCCAGCTTGTCTGCAAGCTTGCTTGGGTCTGAGATGTCTCTCATAAAAACAGAGCAGCTAAATCAAATCCTTGCACGCAATTAAAAAGGGCTATCATAATTTAGTAAATTATTCCACTAATGGAGGTAATATAACCAAAATGGCCCAAATAAATTTTAAATAACCTTCACCAGTGAACTTTTTAAAAAGGAACTCACTTTTAAAATGTCTTAATTAAAAAACAAATACAAACTATTCTTACAGAGCTCTTGTAAGGTTCTTTCTGCCTTCACTAATGAGGAAATATAATGGAGCTAATTTTTACAAAAGCTCTTGTTATTTAGTATTATTAAATTGGATCAGGTTTCGAGGGGCTCATAAGCAACTTATTGAAATGGAATTAAATGGTCCATGTGCTGGATTAAAGGTAGCATAAAAATAGAGAACGGAAGCACATAGTAAATAATATAAAAGGCAGAAATTTTCAATGCAGAGTATGTACCCTGTATTATTCATTTTTTATGAGCAAGTTATACATGAAAGAATATTGATTCATGTGTAATAAGTGAAGTGGAAGCAAAAGTAAGAACTGAAGGAATCTATTTTGTATATTTCGTATATAATGAAGGAAATATTCATTAGAGTCCGATGCTTGAGGACCTTCTAAGTCAAAACTTAGAACATTTAAGATTATTTCTTTCATTCCACAAATGACAAAATACTAGATATTTGTTAAAATGAAAAGCAACATATTAAATTGTTATCTTTGACTTAGTGTTTATATATCTATCTCTGGCAGTACAGAACTTGCTCACACAAAAAATGAAAAAATTTACTGCATGAGATTCAAATGGATTCAATATTTTCAGTGCAGACTGAACAGGATTAAGGATTACAACAGAAAGAATGGTGATTGCTCGAGATTTCTGAAATTAAACAATTCAGTTTCACTGAATATACAACATTTTCCTGCAACATTTCCTCCTTTCTTTCTCCTGTCCCATCTTTCTATCTTCCTCATAGAATAAATTAAACTACACATTCTTGCAAGGAGGAGGGAAGGGAAGAAATAACTCAATATAATTTTATGAGGTTTTCAGGTATTTGGTGATTGTTTTCATTTGAAGAAGGTCAGGTTTGAGTTTTACCAGCCTTGACAATGTCACTTTAGCTTAAGACCTATAAGCCAAGTGGTTGCTTTTGCACAGAGCACATATGGGCCCTTTTAAACAAACATTGACACGGTCTGCAAACCGTATCAACCCACTGCAAGGCACTGGTTATGGAGAGAGAGCAGCTTCAGGCAGCAGGAGCCAGGCACAAGGACACGATGAGGGGACAAATGAAAACGAGGGGTCTCTAGGACATCCCTTTAATGCAACCTGGTACTCCCTGCTCCTAAAGCAGGGAATTTAGGCACCAAACCAAACCTGGCATACAAATCACTGGCAGGAATGAGGACTGTGCATTTCAGAGAAAAAGATTATAAAAGCAAAGCTAGATTTTGGTGCTAGGAAGGGTGAAGTTCACAGTCTCTCATGGCACTATGCTCTGAGCAACCCTGCCCACCCCAAACATGCCATAAACATGGAAGAAGCAGGAGCTACAAGAAAGATTAAAACAGGTTTGGGAAAGGATGCTGGAAGCTACAAAAAAAGTGTGGATATTGTTACTGCTCTGTACATAACATCCTACTGAACCATGCACAAATGCCAACATCAATTTTCCTTAAGGCTGCACAGCTGAAAAAAGCGGAGGGACCACGGGTAAAACTTCTGGCCCTTAACCCAAAATAAAAGGCAGATGTGGAACAAACGAAAATGCATTTTCCATACTGACAATGCCAATTTAATCGAAAGGCATGCAACAAGATTTTAGGAAGGAGCTGGGGTGGGGAAGGTCTGAAGGAACATGGGAATGAGTCTTTACCATGGCACTCCTAAAGACTGAGCTGATTTTTAAAGTACTGCCCCTTGTCCCTCCTGCAGTATTTCCAAATCTTTTTGCTTCTTTCTCTGCTTGTACAGAAAGAGTTAAAAACTATTTGTGAAAACTGTTTGAAGCTGTACTAGTTACGTTCAAATCGGAACTCTGAACGTGCTAAGATTTGTGACACCACAAGATGAGACCCAGGTATTTAAAAAATACACATTTGGTGGCAATATACTTGACAAAGAAGCGCCCCCTTTCTCCTCCAGAGCCGACTGAAGCCCTAGGAAGGAGGTATTAACTTCTGTGGGTTCTGATCCCAGCCTTTGTATATTAACAGCAGTTGATGCCAAGTTATAGAGGTGTTAGAAATCATAAACCAGTGTTACCTCACTTTATTAGTTACATTTTATGTTTTATTTTGACTTTAACAGAGTCTCTGGTGGTATATTTCCCATTTAAAAAGCAATATATTTTCTCCTTTCCACCAAATAAAAGCAGTCAACTTTGGGATCACTTGTACTATTAACACTGGTTCACCAATTCACTTTCTTAAAAGACTTGTTTTCAATTTCAAGTAGAACACAAATTTGGCGTTCCTTTAAATGAGGTAGAGGAGTACGGGGAGAGGAGAGAAAGCAGCAGATCTGGCTTTGTAAGGAGCAGCCAGGCTCACTGCAGCTGACATTCCCCTTCCCATATATTGGGGGAGCGCAGGGAATAACAGCTGGGATACATGACTCACAGAAATGTTTACAGAATTACAAGTTCTTCATTAGGATACATATAGTTAATTATTGATGCTGTGCAATCTCTTTTTACTACAGTATTGACACAAATTACATCGGAGGCCTTACAGATCTGATTTGGGGAGCAATTAATTTACAACTTCTAGAGCAATTTCTCATTCAGCTTTTATCTACCCAAAAACTACACAAACATTCTCAAAACAGAGCTGAGGAAGCGAGATGTCCCTTCCAAAACCAACCCAGCGCCGAGCCGAGAGGGCATTTCAGACGGCGGCAGGTACCCTCAGCAGATGGCAAGTTGCTGACAGCTTTAGATGCTCTAAATTCAATGAATCGAGGTACTACTTGTTCCAAGTGAGTGGGTGGTTAATTACATTCGCCCTTTGTATTGCTGACAGATAATGTTGATTCTGGTAATAAGGAAACGGAGAATTCTGCAGGAGAGGAAAACGTGTTTTAAATTCAGAACAAAAGGTCAATTTTGCACCCATAATCAAATCATTTTCCTGCCCTAACAAGCCACATCTGAAATAGGGAAATGGTATTTTACAAGATAAAAATCTGTGGGTTCTGCAGTAGAGGTCAGTAAACAAGTTGTTGAAAGGTTGTGTGTAAATGATTATTTCTGTCACTTAGAATTACAGCAGAGAGAATCATCTCTGACTGCAAACCTTAAGGTACACCAAAAGGTATGTCAATTCACTCAAACATGTAAATCTTATTTCCATATTCAATTACCTTAGAATATATTGTGGTAATCATTTGTACACATCCATTTCATTACCCCACATCACTGATTGGCATTTGAATGATAAGCCTTTGTATTTTAGCTTGTGTTATTACCTTCATTAGCAGAATAGGAACCCAAAGCCCGAGTGGGCAGCTCAGGTTGCAGTAAATCCAAAATAATCATATGTAAAATAATTAAAGCTACTCAAATCAGCATCAAAGTGGCCTCTTGCATGGTCAGCAGCGTATGAGATTTCTGAATAGCAGTGACTAATCTTAGCTGACATTTCTCCAAGAAACATAAACTCTGTTTCATGATACTTGAGCACGACAGCATCACGAAAGATCCAACTTAACAGAGACTCGCTCGGGTGGCTTGGAGCAGCTCAGGGTGGTTCAGCAGGCACCGAGCAGGCTTAAAATGTTTCCCATGTTTTATCAAATAAGCAGCTATAACGATTATCCAAATACAAAACATAATAAATGTGGAGAATATCTTATGCATTATCTTATGCATTAATTGATATGGTACTTGGCCTTCTAGAGCTATCATCTGATGAGCCCCTGGATCCTTCCCGACACATGTGAATACACCACATGCCGAGCTCTACAGAGCAAATTACTTTCCCTTTAAGTGAGATAATAGGCCCACTGTGGTATCCCAATTAAGAGAGCCCTGGCATACTAATTTTATGCTTTCTAATTAAGACTCATTTGCAGCTCGAGGAGGCTGGCCAGGGCCTGGGAGAACAGAGAAGGGGAAGCGCAGAGGCCGCAGCCTCCGCTGGCCTCCACTGCCCCACAGGCACCAGCAGCGGGAGCTCCCTGCTCAGCATGGGGCTGAACGTGGGCACGTCCAGCCCCAGCTTCAGCCCCTTCTGCAGGTGGAGGAGGAAACTGCCCTCCCAAGGAGTTTTTTTCGCTTCAAATGAAATTCCACTCTGGAGTCGTCAGCTACATTAGAGAGACCCAACACATTCAGTTTTATCTTATATTATAAATAAACAATATTATGAAAGAGAGAAGTGCAGGCTGAGGTGTCTATATCTGTGCAGGAGAACTGGGGGGCAGAACTAGAGACGCTGTCACAGCAGGTGACACACGCACTGCTGCTGTGACATCTTCTTTGTGCTGCAGCAGGAGAGCCAGGAGGGAAAGCAGCCCGGGAGGAGCAGGCTCACCGCCTCTTACAGCTACAGCACCAAAACCACTTTTCTTCCCATTCCTCTGTATACATAAGGAAGGGATGAAGAGAACAAGTGTTCTGCTGAACCGTCCCACTGCTTCCCTGGGTCTTTACCACCAATTCAAAAGAAAAAAAAACTAAGGGGTTTTTAAAAGGTCTGCTTGGCTGGAAGGGGAATAACTTCAGAATCTCTTCCAGAAAAATTCCTTGCTAGCTTGCACACTGCCCCCATGCAAAACTTCACATGCCGATTGCCTGCAACTACCTATGGCAAACGTGTGTTATCAGGCACAGCCAAAGAGAGTGAAAAAAGAAAAAACTTACACTGTGAGAATAAGTTGAAAGTGCAAAACACAGCGAATCTAGATGTTGGTAAAGAAAATATTGGGGTTTTTTAAAAAGAGAAAAATTCAGTACAATAAGAATTTAAGCATCCAGCACCAGTACGTCTTTTTCCTCCACGCTGCTGTAACATGAGACCGAGTACAAACCACAGTGCCATGACAGAGCTATAAATATTGTCTCTGGCATTACAGACTCCAAGGCAGGCTTGCTTTCTAACACTCTCATTGCCCGAGGAAAACAACTCTGTCTTCACATTAAGCCAGCTTTCACTGTCCTTTGTCTTCCTGCGAATCCAATGGAAAGTATTCAGCTTTCTGATCTGCCCCTTTCTTCCTTGGATACAGTACAAAGTATAATTTCCTAATGAAATAAGTAAATTGGCTGTCTATAGAGAGACAAAATGAGAAGCCACCAAAGGGAATGCAGTTTTAGTCCTCGAGAGCAGTACAAGGATATCTGCCAGCTATAAATATAAAACATGGCTTGTTCACCAAAACTCCTTATCTTCAGTGAAACTCCAGAGGTCTAAATTTTCTCAGTTTACCCCCAAGATCTTCATCCTGCTGCAAGAGCCCTTTCCCAAGCCCTCGGTGGGAAGGCTAGAGCACAACCACAAAGGACTCTGCACAAAACTCAGTTTGGGTTAACACTGAACTTGGTGTGTGCAGTCTGAAGCGGCATCTTTTGCTCGCAATTCCGCAAAGGAATTTACATATTAAGAAATAAAAGACTGTGGGCCAGATAAGTATTAAAATATTTACGGCTTTTGGAAATCCAACTCCTGTTTGTAAATGTAATTTATTATGTCCAGTCTGCCCAAGAGACAGCACTTCCAAGTCTTCCTCTAAGTACCACAATCAGTGTCCCCTGCAGATGAGGGTCCTTACTGTTAAATATTCATAAATCACACACAGAAAATCAAAGTTCTCTAAAGCCCCCCCTAAAACCCTCTAATACTCACAACTTCTGAAATTTGTTTTGGGTGTGACATATGACTGCTTTAAAAGGTATCAGAAACACAGAAATTAGAAACAAGTATTTATGAAATAAAGAAAGATGATGAAATTTATACATTTCAGTTTGTATCATGTGCCTCATGGTTAAAAAAAGACTATTGGAAAAAAAAACTCTGACCTTTGCTTGTTTGTTTTTCTTTAAAACATCCTTGCATGAAAGTAGTGCACATGCAGTTAGGTGCCTTCTTCCAAACAAGTCTGAGTTTGCACATTGTCATGTAAACATCTAATTGGGTATTTTTATTTTCTCTTGCACGCACTTTATCTGATACTTACACAGACACATTTTTCTTAATCTAAACCAAAACAGAAAATACAATTTTTCTAAATTCAGGTTGCCTCGGGCCTGAGGGTTTGACTTTTCTAGATGACGGAACATTTTCCCTCTCTGGAGAAATACTCAGGGCGCTATGAACAGCGTGCCAAGGAGAGCATGATGTATAGGACCCCGCACACACGCAGTCCCCATCTGCCGAGAAGGCCCTGCTGGTCCCCAGACGCTCAAAGCAAAGCTGCTCCTATTTATCTCAGAGGTCAGAAACCCACCTGAGCTGTGCTGGGAGCACAGGCCTCACTCTGCAGATTTCCAGTTTAAAATCATGCATTTTTTCATGAATTTCCAAGGAAGACACAAGTCCAGTCAGAACTCATTCAGAGATTTGAGCTCTTCTATTCTCAGAAGTAATGAAAAAGTAGAAAAATGAGTTACAATTCTTACCGTTTTCTGTCAGTCAGAAATACTGGACATAAGATGTAATTGGAAGTAGCAGAGAATTTCCAGCAAGTTCAGAGTCTGCCAAGAAGGACAACTCAATAAAAGAGTCCTGCAACCTTCAGTGTTACCCTGAGGTTTCAGGGTACTTCTTGAGAACACCATCCTCCCACACATAGCTCCCAAGGAGACATGTCCAGCTATCTGCAAGCATAAGGGTAAACCCATTACAACAACTGAGCTTCAAACCACCCTTTAAAAATTGGGCCAATATGTACAAGACCAAAACCTTGGTCAGAATTCCCCCTGCTCCTATCAAACAAAACTAAGAATTCCTGGTTTACAAATGAAAACTGCTAACTGCAATTATACATGGCAGAAAGCACGCTTACAAATGTATAGGTTATTATATGAGGCTTTCTTCTTATTTCCTTCCCTCCTTTGCCCTGTAATGAAGAAGCTGTTACTGGCAGAAGGAATTAAGCATGAGCTGCTTTGAATGCTTTTAGTCTGTCACTTGGCTTAACACTCAAGAGCTGACTTGAGAAGTAACTCCTTTCTAACAACTGTGCGACCGTATTTCCTGAGAACTGCACTCTCTAATGAAAAGCCACATGCACTTTCCAAATGAAGCCTGACAGACCCTATCACAGCACTGCTGCTTTAAATGCCACCTGCACAGAGTCCATCTCCTGCACATGGACTTTAGGGAAGCAAACTACTATTGTCTTCAGTCACAATGTGCGAACAGCTAAAATCAAGTCAATGTTGGAATAAGCTGCTAGGGCTGTTGCTACCTGCTTCTGGCTCCCCTGCATTTAAGTGGTTTCTATCCATGGAATTCAAAGCACTGGGTGAACTGGGTGGGAGCCTGTCTGGCAGTGCTGGCAGGAGCAACCTTGGGATATCTCTGAAAGTAGCTCCCGCTTTCTGGGAGCTGCCTTTGGAGCCTTGGAGGGCTGTTCCGCCGCTGCCTGCAGTTTATGAGTGCAGTGGATGGTACCTGTGCTGAGGCTGGCAGTACGTTTCTGCAGAACTGGAGTGCTGTACCTTGTCCAGATAGTTTTCAGACAGGTTAAAGTGAATAGCATTAACTTTGTCACGGGAAATTCCTGGAAAAACAGGAATAGATGACTCAGTTCCTTTTATGGAATATGGGAATAAATATATATGGAATAAATATATACAGGGTATATTTTTATATATTATATAATAAGATATATATACCAAATATATTTATATATCTAAAAGTATATATGAGATAAATATATACAGGATGGGATGTCCATGGCATTGGCCACGCTCCCTCCCAGACTCACACGCCAGGCAGAGCCCCAGGGCAAACCACCCAAAAGGCCGTGCCGGCTGCTTCCTGCACCCTGCCTGGCACACCAGTTATCTCCCCTTCTTAGACTGCTGCTTTAAAGGATATCTTAGAATTTGTATCTAGAATAACTCAATAGTGTGATTGTGTTTTTTTCACTAAAGGCACCGAGACCACTGCATATATCTCTGAATGGCACCAAACTATCATGGGCCACGTGGTGGCCTTCCCTCCTGCACTGACCAGCCTGCATTGAAGGGCTCATGTTCTGATGGAAAATTGATGCAGGAGTTATGCTCATGATAAATATTCACACACTACATTTAGCATCATGGGGATAGGTCCTGATATATTATAGGGACGTATTATAGCACTATAGGGAAGTGTCCTGACTTACTGCAGTTAAACAGGGACACGTACATTGCAGAATCATTCTGACAGCTCAATAAATTGTTGACAGCTCTGGCTACAAAAATAACCACCCACAGTAGCTGACTAGGAAGCCTCCCAAGCAGCATGGCCAAGTGCTGGAGGAAAGTTGAGCTAACGGAGACAAGCGGGTTAAGGACAGTCATTGATACAACTTTTATTACTGTAAACAAACCTGCTCCAACTCATAACCTCGCTTGTCGTAACCCTGCAGGGCTCCCTTCCCTGCACATCTGACAAGCTGCCTTTCCTAGCAAGGGTAAGTAAATATCTTCTACCATGAACAACTATGCTTAACCTTAAAAGAGGATTAGAAAATGCCAAGAGCCAAGGCAGCTGCACAGGGATGTGTTCACCTGAAGACTCCCCAGTGGAAAATGGCATTTCTGGGATCAAAAAATACAGACTCGAAATATTTTAGTCATCACGGTACGGAACATAACAAGTCAGAAGTTGACTCAGGCAAGCCAGAAAGACTGTCTCAGGTCATAGGCAATCGCAGCCCTTTATGGAACTGTAAATTGTTTTTAATCAGGATGAGAGAATCAATTAATGAGAGAATTAATGCTTTTAACAGTAATGGTTTTGAGTCTCTGGTGGCTCTGGCGGCTAGGATCCAAATGCTAACTGAAAGTTTTTTGCACTTGATGCTCATAACACGTTACAACATTTGCAGTCCAAAAGATGGGGAAACCATTTGCTGCATCGTTGGCAGCGGACACGCAGTTCTTGGAGTGCCACTTCGGGCATTCTGCATGGAGACTGGTGCTCCTTACGGCCAAATCCCAGCGGGACTGCCCACGCTGCAGGGCTTGGGGAAGGCTCCCTGCCTTGGGGGCTCTACCACAACAGCCACATTGAGAGGTCTCTATTGGAAAACACTGCGCTGCTTTTCAAGGAACCACATTTTCTTGGGACAAGCAATTCTGGGTGCAAATGAAGTTTCTCAGACTTACTAAACAGAACTCCCCTTCTCTTTTCTTCCTGTGCCTCCTTCTAGCAATGATCTGGATGGCAGTGCCCTTATTGCACTGAGTAGGTGTTACAGGTAATCCCATTGCAGTCAACTGGGCTAGTCATCAAGTAGAAGATCGGTCCAAGTAAGCTAGGGCACCAGATCCTTTCAGAGAATCCAGGCTAGATCCAGAAGAGATTATTTTGTTTCTTCCCCAGATTTAAGGCTTCAGAATTCTATGCTTTTACTTTATTACAACTTCAGCAAAGGGCCATTTTTTTTGTGTTGAAAAGTATATACCACGACCGGGTATAAAATCATTATTTGAGAAAGACATCTACAGTTTATCTGGTTTCACCAGACTCATTTTTCAGTCTATATTTCCTCACATTAATAAAATACATACAGCAGACCCACTGCCAAAAACTCAGCATTCAGGAAAATAAATAAAATTTGCTGTTGTATTTCATTTCATTTTGACTATTTCACACACCTTTCACCTTGTATATTCATCAGCCTTTCCAAAGCTTCAGGGAGATCCTGAAGGATTGGCTCTGGAAGCAGTTCAGCTGGCACCAAAGCTGCAGTTTACACTGCAGTGCTTTAACCCTCTGACCTCTGCTTGTAGGAATTTATGGGCAGCTACATCCACCTCACGCCTGGAGGTGTGATGCTGAATATGAAGCTGGAAGGGAAGGATTTTTCTCTTGCAAATTGCTTTATTGCTTTTTCTCTGAAGTTTCATATTCACAAGCCAGAGACCTTCCTGTTCATCGTTCACTTTGAGGGAAATTCATTGCTAAAGAAGTAGGTTGAAGACTTGTAGTCTTGTTAACAGACTGTGCCCACGCAGGCGGAGGCTCCCGTGCTGCATAACCCCGAGCATCGATTCCAATTTGAAAAGGCAAACTTTGCATCTTTGAATCAAAAATTGAATCTTTTGAGTAAAGGCAACTTTCTGAAGTGGGCTTTAACCAAACTCTCATGGCCTTCAAGGCTTATAGGGTTTAGCAATCACATTTGCTCTACCCCAATGGTTGGAAACAGAACACAGGTAGGACCTCAGATGAGGTCTAAAGGGAAGCGAATGCATCTGTGATGAACATCAGTGGTGCTTTAGTCAGTTAATCCTCTGTTCATTGTAGGAGTGGATTTTTTTTAACGTCTAGAAGATCATTTGCTGACAAATAATATAAGAGGATGATCTATCACACAAGTCAATGAAATTTCTCATTATCAAAGATGTGCTGAAATTAAAGCAAGAAAGGATCTGTAAGGTCATCTAAGCTGCTATCCACGAGACTTCGGACTGTCACGGGCAGCTTTTTTCTTTTTGAAAAGCAAGTTTTAAAAGAGCAAATGATGACTTTTTTCAGCACCTGCCTTGCAGCAAACAAAGACAGGTTTCCATATCATCTCAGACAAAGGGCACAGAAATAACCAAGGTCCCTCGCGCGGCTTTGAGTCAGACAGCGGTGACAGCTCTGTCACCCGCACAAGGGACACCCCTACTGTAAATGGCAGAATGCAGCAGTTGCCACTGCAGGAGCTTAATTAATCTTTTAAAATTGCATCAGTGCAATTTTAGTACAACATATGTGTCCATTGACTAAGTGCTATTCCATTAGTGTTTTTAATAGACTTAAGTAAAAACAAGGAAAAAAGAAAAATGCACATACAGTGGGATATAAAACTCATATAGTTTTGCAGTACAGATACAAGTGTGTTTCAAACCACAGCACCTGGTTCCATCATTTTAACTTGGGCACTTTTTAAATCAAGCCTTTGCTTTTCTCCCAAGGTGTTAGCTGGCCACTTTGATCACTACCTGCCTCTGATATTCCTTTGTGTTCACACTATTGTCTGCCAATACAAATACAGAGGAAACTGCAGCTTAAAAATAAATGAACATTGTGCAGCATGAGGAGCTGATGTCAAAGCCGACTGAATAGGTTTTTGTCTAATGCTGAAGTCTGTGCTCCTTCCTAAAGCTACTAGCTCAAGGCATAGTAATTCAATGGAAAATTAACATAAAGTAGGCTCATAATAGATTTTGAAAATGGGTAGAATACCTCTAGGACTACACAGACAAAAAAATATGTATAATCTGCTGTAATATAGAAGATTTTCCAGCTCTGATACCCTGACAGGAAGCAAAAGAAACCCCTCACATCTGCACAGAGTGGTGTGATAAATCACCCCAGCACAAACGGGCATAAAAAGAACAAATGCTTTTGCCAGGGATAGGGACTTTGGAAGAAAAAGGGGACAGGATTGACTCAGGTTTTTAAAATTTGGGGCACTATTTCAATAGAAAGAAAATGGATTAGTAATTCAGCACTGTAAAGTCATAAAAAACCATGTCCTGACTGAGAGAATGCAGAGAACAGTGGAACTCGACACATACGCAGGAGAAATCAAGCTGTAATTGCCCAATGGGACAGAATGGCACACCTTACACACACCTTGCAATCCTCACACTGATTGTTTCACAGGTTCTGGAAGGACAAGCTGCCTGTGCAGGTATCCTGCTATCAGCAAATAGCTGCTTATCTCCCCTTTTAGTTTTATTTATAAACTGGCAGGCTTGCCAACGGCCCGGAGGACTACAGGTAGCACATCAGAAACATCAACTCCTATTTGCCTGCAAGACACTCAAAATCATTTTGGTGCACATGATTTTGAGGGTGGCTGCTGGTCCCAACTCTGCTTTCAGCAACTTGGCCAACCTCATTTCCAATTTCGAGTTACTCCCAGCATCTCTAATCCCAAATTTGAAATTCCTATTACCGGGAGCTCCGATCACAAGCGGCTTGGCAAGGACAGCGCTCCAAGCCCCATCGCAGCCGCTCTGCCCACCTGCAGCTGGGCACTCACCCGCTCCCGCAGCAATTACCGTGTCCCTCCAGCCAGGACCTTTGTCGTGCCAATGCTACAGTTAGGCTTTCGTAGGATTTCCAAGGCAGCTATGAAATTGAAAAAGTTAAACCACTCTTTTCTCATTCTTTATTCCTTTTCACCTAGACAGAGTCCCTTTGCAGATTCTTTTTGACAGTAAAAGCTAAAATAAATAGAATGTTTCTAATATACCATATATACCAGTTTTCAGAAATCAACCAGTTTTCACTTCATCCTTTCAAGCAGAAACTGCATTTAATGTGATTTAGCCACTCAAAAAATATCTGCTCTAAAATCTCTCACTTGTTGCCTTTCTTCACACACCCAGAGCCTCTACTGAGGCCATTCATTCTTTCATTACCTCCCTCTCTTTATAGCAGCACAATCTCAGCTGAATATAGAAGATTTTACATCTTTTCCAATCTGCTCTAGGCTTTTGATTTTTGAAATTGTTGACTAATCTGAAGTTTCCACTGTTAAGTGGAAAATAATTGAAAACATCCTT